CTTTTACGCAGAAAATTTGAAGCATATATGTCTAATACAAATATATGTTTTGAAAATATAGCATATTTTAAAGATTGACAGACTCTATGAACTATAATGGGCCAGTTATTGCAATGACTAATAATACTAAAATTCATCCTCATCTTGGCTATTCTACAAATCACAGATGTATTGTTGGGTCTATTTTTTCTTCTGATCAAACTCGAGTTGATAATTATGATGAAGTTAAAACAATTATTCAAAATATAATATCAAATAATGCAATTGCAAAGCAAGTCCGTTTATATTTACTTCAAGTAAGTTTTAATTAATGTTATTATATAAGTATAAAATAATATACAGGGGTGTTATTTCGAATTCTGGTTCAAATTAAGTTTAATTTAAACCAAAATCCGAAATTACACCTCTGATTGTTATTTCGCATTTATACAATAAGAAAAAGTTAAATTTAGAGTTTTAAATTATAATCTATTTAATTTAGCCTTAAAAAAATAAGGCTAGTAATATATATATTAAATTAAATTTTAAATTTTAGATACCATTACCAAAGTTTCTACCAGTTGTAATTGGGTTAATTCCAAACAATAATAATAAAACATCAACACAAATATTGCAAATATATGAAAAGGTATTAGAAATAGCTAGATACTTTCGATTTATATAATTTCTATTGGAGCTAATGGTGCTATTTCAGAATTTAATGCTCAAAAGCATTTAATGCCCAAAAATACTAGATTTACAAAGCACTTTAATGATCTAATTTATAAAGTAAATTTTGCTTGTTCAGTTTTTCCTAGAGTAGGCCTAGTAATTCGAGTTTCTGATCCATTACATGCCCGAAAATCTGCATGAAATGCACTGTTTTCTGGAGCATGATTGCTTACTTTAGGATATTATGTAGCAGCTTATAATCAAATATTGGATATATATGAACAAGCTGATAGTGTTTTGTACAAGAAAGATATTATTAATTGTGATTGCCAAGATGATAGAGCTAGCTATTGTCTTTTTTATTCTTCACTTCTTAATCAAGTAATAAATTCAAATACTTCTGAGAATGCTCATTATGGTCTTTTTATTTATTTGTTTGTAATTGGTAAGTTATAGTATTAATATGTTTTTATTACTATAAAAATATAAAATAATGTTTAGGATATAATTTCGAATTTGACTAAATTTAGAACAAAACTTAAAATAACGTCCTTGTGCATTATTTTGTGCGTGTATAGTAATACTGTATATGTTTAATAAAACAATTAAAAATTAAAAAACAATTTTATTTAATTAGATGAATTGATTGATACATATCAAAATAGAACAATTTCATATTTAGAAAGGGCATGAATAGCTATAATGGCATATTTTTTTCTTACAATATAGAAATCGTATATTGGATCCGTTAGATTAGCTAATCCCAATTATATAAGTCTTGAAAAAAATTTTCTTGCAATACAAACATTTAATATTTTGACAAGCTTAGCAGAATCATTAGTAAGTATAATAAATATTTGCAAATTTCTTAGTTTAAAAATATACTATTCTAAGATTTTGATTTATTTTTTTTAGATTCTTTTAATTATATCTTACCATGATTTTTATAATTCATTTCCACTATTACCATAGCTTCATAGGTCTGAAGGGTGTGAATATTTTTTTGAATTGTGTCGGCAAATTAATAATGATTTTATATTTTCTGATTTACTATATATGGTTTCAAAAGTATTTAATATGTATAAGGCATATATAGCTGGAACTTTAAATGAAGTAATAAAAGATAAAACGTCTGACATTAGTAAATATAAAAAATATTATTTATTTTGTATATAATTAAATCTTAATTATTTATACTATATATATTATATTAGGCTATATTACAACTATAATACTGGAATACTTGCAGAATCTATTAATATATTATGTCAATAGCCATTGGATGATGATTTATTTTGTACTGTTCATAAAGGATACTAGCAAGCTTGGAATTTTGCTAAAGTTCTTTCAATGGTTAATCAAAGTGATGAATTTTTCGAGTTAAATAACCAATTAAATCAATTAGACGCAGATAATACAGATGGGTTGAGTCAATAGAAACCAAACAAATTTTTTTTAGTAAGTTTTTTTAAAATTTTAAACAAGAATAACTTAACAAA